TTTGGGGAGGTCGGGAAACCCCCTGTGTTGCCTGAGGACTCTGATTTTTTAAGATCACTGATGTGTCTGGCATGAGCGAATCTGATTTCCAGGTCTATCTCCCTCTTTGTTTGGAGAGATTCTATGTATTCAGTTAGCCATTCAACCGAACTGGAGGAGTCTTCTTGGCTCGCTGAGTCTGGAATTYCRTCCGTCATTTCTGAGCTCTTGCCTGGGAGATTCCCATCGGTGTGCATCTCTTCTTCGTTTGACCCGGTCCCCTTTGGATTGTTCTCTTTACTTTTCTTAGGGCCTGTGACACTTTTCGTTTTTGTTTCTTCCTCGTCTTCCTCATCCTCGTTTCTTGCCTTCCTCTTTGTGGCTCCTTGTTCCCTGGTAACTGTTTTGGATGATTTGTTCAACGGAAAACCTTTTCTAGTCTGTAAGTTTTCCAAAAATGCGCTCTCAGCTTCTCTCCCCATGCAGTGTACTTCGTCCATGATTTGATTTCTGTGCATGCTCTGCTCCAATTGGAAGGAGGATCCCAGTGTTTGCCGGACGTATTTGTGAGTTGCCTTGTCGTTGCGTTTCCCCCCGCTTGTTTGCCATCTGCTACTGTGGGGGGGAAAAATATCTGGTTTGCTTGCTGGCTCTGGATTGTCCAAGGTCCACACCCAGGCTGGAATGTCCTTCAGATCATCAAAGACCCATCCTGCATAGGCTGGGTCGTTGATGATCCAGATGCCTTTCATTGCCTCCGCTTCGATCAACATTGACTGGTTGAGTCGTCTGCCCTCTCCTTTGCGTGTGTTGAGGGGGCAGAGAGGGTCATTTCCCATGTGGCCCTTGATTCTGCATCTGAAACACATGGGATTGGCCTTTGTGGATACATACACTGTTTGGATGTTCTGCCCGATTCTGAAGAACCATTTGTCCGGCAGGATCGCTGGGTTGCTGGATTTGAGTTCGACGCAAGCAATCCTCGAGTTAGCGCTGGGGGTAAGGAAACCTGGGGCTGAGGATACCCATTCCACGAGGGGGCACTGGGGGAGTGACTTGCTGAGTCTCTCCTCAACCAGGCCGTGCATACCATCAGTCAGATTGTCAAATTGTATCCAGAAGTGTTTGTTCATTAGTGACTGTCTGTGACACGATGTGCCTTGCGGAGCAGACCTGCTTGGCTTCCATTTAGCAATGGTAATCACTGAGCCCTCGCAGTACAGGGCTTGTATTGCCAGAAGGTCATTTGCATAGTTGGGATCCGCGCAAAGGATAGGGACTGCATTGCGCCCTCTCTGTTGGTAGGCGACTTTGGGTTCGGTCTTCCTCAGATTTTCTATGCTTTTGAGGCATTCCCGCACTCTTCTTCTCTTTTCTATTGGAGGAAGGTGTTTGGTCTTTGCCGGAAAGGAGCATACCACAGCGTGCGTTTTGTAAAAATCGTCAAGGATTGGGAGGTTTTCTTTGGGGTATTCCCAGACTTCAACTTCCTGTTCGACTCCATTGTCCTTGATTATCTCCTTTCTGACGTTGGACTTTGTTTTGGTCTCTTTTACCATTAGATTTAGAACTTCCTGACTGGGGTCTTGCTCATCTTGCTGAAAGGTCCTGTGGGGAGTGTTCCTCATGCTGGTGGAGGCTGAGGCTGAGGTCGTGCCTGCTTGGGAGGAAGACATCGCCGGTCTGGAGTGATGTTGTTTCCCCTCCGGGGGATCGAGGGATCTGAACCAAGGAAGATAGATGAGTACCCAAGCAAGGTAAAGCTTCGTTGCCCCCCTTTGGGGAGCGTGCGATCGGATCAAAAGTAGCGAGTGGGACTGATGAGATGACTGTGCTAGTCTTTTTTCTACGGCGTGTGAGTTCAGCTGTCGAGGGGAAAAAAAAAAAAAAAAAAAAAAAAAAAAAAAAAGA